CACACACACACACACACACACACACACACACACACACACCGGTGAGCAGCTGTGCGGTTATAAACCTGCTTTCATCTCCTCAGAAAGTGAGAGTTTAATACCTCGTCTCTCATGTAAACGCAGACGGGAGTCGATCCTTCCCGGGAGAGCAGCGTCCCACTGCGGAGAGACAGAGCAACGGGGTTAAGGCGGACATCCAACTCCCCCACATCCAAGTCGGCCATTTTGATTAGGTCACCAATAGGAAGATCCCAGGCAAGAAAATCCTAATTACTTCATGGCAATATAGACAGTAATTTAAAAATAGTTAAATGAATCTTGCAAACACTGAATTAAACTCTATACATAATATTATGTTAAAATAGTGGATGTTAAATAGGTTTGTACAATAAGTCCAAACAAGTTTAACCCAAAAATTATTTATTGCTCACAATTATGAAGGCTGGAGGCTTAGGTTTAGGGTTAGGACATAGTTTGTCTTCCGATTTCGTATAGACAGTAAAGTTTCGTTTCCATCTCAGAAAGCGGCTAGTCACATGACCTAATAAAAATGGCCGACTTGGATGTGGGAGGAGTTGGATATCCAACCGAGGCTCCTACAGGCTGCAGCCAGAGGCTGCTCCTCTGCTCTGGTCTGCATGTGAGCCACGTGGGAACTAATTGAGCCGTAAAAGTTTCCCTGTTGTTCTGGAAATCAAAGCTTCTCGCCGACCCGTTTGGGGGAAACGGATCAGGACACGCGGTGATGTCATTAATGGAGATAAGGCACAGCTGGACCTACTGAGCCACAGCTGCATGTGTGTGTCTGTGTGTGTGTGTGTGTGTGTGTCTGTGTGTGTGGAATCTGGCAAAGATGAAGCCTCTACAGAACACTGACCACCCTCAGTCTGTAGAAAATACATGAAAAGTATTCATTTTTCCTAATCTCCTGATATCTTTGGCTAATATTTAGTGGCAGATTCTTTTGTTTCCTGAGAATAAACTATTTCTAACAAATATCAGGATAAAACAATCAATCAATCAAACATCACACAGTTCCAGAAGAACGTTTCTTATTTGTCTGAATCAAAATAAATTAAAGTTGGAGTAGCCATTTTTTCCATTTAAAACTGATTTAGATGGATATGAAGCTTCCTTAAAAGGGAAATAAGCTTTTTCCACTTTTGTTTGCTAACTTCATTTTGCTGCTAAATTTCTAAGAACATAAGATAATATTTCACAGGGTCTCGGCCAACATGTTTAACACGTGATAGCAAAGCCTCAACTTTTAAAAAGAAAGAAAAACAAGAAATGTCCTTATTTATTCTCCGTTTGTTTGATTTCCCGTGGACTCCGTTTTAAACGGACTATCGGACAGGAGCAGGCTCATGACTGCTGGGAATCTAAAACCAAACACACAAACCTGATCTGAGGGAAGTGTGTGATGAGCTCCCACAAACTCTGCCCACACGAGAAGGAATCCTGCAGCCGGGAGCCGTCCTCCATCTGGAGAGCAACCCGCACCTGGAAACCACAGAAGTCAGACCTCAGAGACTCACAACACACACACACACATACACAAACAAACACACACACACACAATAAAGTGAGGAGCAGAAAAATGTCCTCACTTTCAAAAAAAGACCTCACTTTGTAGGTTAAAAACTACTTATGGTTCTCACTCTGATGCAGCAACAAGGACACACACACACACACACACACAAACACGCACACACATACACACACACACACACACAAAAACACAAACACACACACACAAACGATCGGGGGAGTCAGACTTGGTCCGACTTACTGCTCAGAGAAGGACGACAAAATGTAAATAAACTTAAATCAGGGATGAGAAATAACAGCCCCTTTAAATAATTATCACTCTCACTTTCAGAGGACTCCAGAAGGTAAAAATACCATCAGATAAGCTCCGCCTCTCTCAGCCTGAGGCCCCCGTAAACGTCCAGAAGACCCCGTGTTTCCACAGGCGGCCTTCAGAAAAACCGGAGCCACTTTTCAGAGAAATAATCGGACCTGATCTGGCACATGTGGGCCTTAGCCCTTTAAAGCCCGATACAAGAAAAATAGGAAGAATATTGGATTTTTTTAGTCTGAAGTCTTTCTTTGGTCCCTCAACAACATATGAAGAAAAGAAAACAGAAATTATTTTGATCAAATTAGCGTGCAATAAGTCAAAAATATATTTTGGTGTAGTCTTCTACTGGCTGTTATCAGGTATATCTGAATGTGTACAACAGGGGTTTGAGCAAAGCTTTTACCACTGAATGATGCAAAAAGTCTCAGATCCAAAAGACTTCAGAAACCGTATGACTCAAATATGATACATTTGGCATTATTAGGGTTAACAAAGAAAGAAAT